TGCTGAAGTCTAGGTTAGCTCACCCTGGAATTATTGTGTGTGCTGAAATCTAGGTTAGCTTTACCTGCAAGCCACTGTGGAGCAGTGTCTCCACCCCAATGTTGCTGACAAGATAACCAATTCTGACAAATAATACTTCAGACTCTGCTCCTGGACCAGTTCTAATTCTCCTCATTGTAAACCGCAGGTTTGCACGGTGGAAATCACAGTACCTCCTAGCACCCTACATCTCAAGCCAGTTCTGAAGGGTCCACCTTCTTACAGACAAGCCTGGCACACTGGGAAAAGATCCTTATGTTTTACAGAACCAATTTTCTAAGTAGGGAAAAGCCTATGGCAGCAAGAGTCAAGTCTACTTTAGAAACAAGATTGTTACTTCCAGGGAAATGACTACTTTGGGACAACGACATGGCTATTCAAAAGTCAGGGTAAGGAGACACTGAGACACACCCAATAAGAGCCTGCGGTCTCCACACAGTGTTACAGTGGCCTACTGTAACAAGTTTCCTATCAAAGCCCGACGTACAGCAATCACGCTTGCTTCCTCAAACTCTGGTGTAAGCTTAACTGTTCACCAAGTTAATGACTATCTCTACTTTTTCTTCTAAAAACTTTTATAATAAATGGTAACAATTAATGGTATAATAAATGGTAAATATTTTTAAAAGCTTAAGTTTTTCAGCTTTAAATAACAAAAATAAGACAAAATTATCAATAAGAGCTTACCAAAGATCAATAATTCTTTTGAAATTCAATTACAATTAAATGCATGCATTCTCACAAATACCTATAATTCTAGTTCCAGGGAATCTGATGTCCTTTTCTGCTCTCCATGGGCAGCAGACACACATATACTACATACATGCAAACAAAACATGCATACAAGCTTATTGACAGAATACTTATAAGAACATTCATATCCAGTCATCTAGGACTTCATGGCAAATAAAATATCTTGAAGCCAATTCTATCAATCATCACCAGCCTTGTCAACAGCAGCCTAGCAGCTGCTAGCAGGCCAGCACTAAAACAGAGCAAATTAATCAACAAAATGAGCAAGTAATAATAATTAACAATGTTGGTGTACGGCATGCACTTTTAAACCCAGCACTCAGAGGCAGAGGCAGGAGGATCTCTTGAGTTTAAGGGGTAGCCAGAACTACACAGTGAGATCCGGTCTCAAACCAAACAAATCAACCAGTAAATAATAACTTACCCACTTCAGTAAGTTTGTGTCTTTCGAGTGTTAAATTCTTGGAGTCCTTAATAAAATGAAAGGGCTGAATTTTTATTCCTTCAATTTGAGGGAATAATAAGGCAAAACCAGATTCTCCAATTTCTATCTCCTGAGGTCGATTGCTACCTGATCCCATTGGAGTCACTAGGGAGAAAAAGACAGTTTCATGAGGACATCTCATAGAAACTGGACTTCGTAAGAAACATAAATCAACCCATTACATCCTCCCAACTGCAGGTGAGGCTGTCAAACAGCGGCTCCTAGAGTAACAGCTCTCTGGCAATGTTTGGGTGGCAATGCCTGGAGCACATTTCAAGTATGTTCAGAAAGGAAGCTTTACAAACAAAAAGTATCAAACTGAGCAGTCGCTGAATCCAGATGAAAGGAACTGCTGTTCTTCGGAAAACCTTGTTTCAGTTCCCGGTCTAACTCGGGGAGATCTCTACCCTCTTCTGGTGTCCATGAGCACCAGGCACGCATGTAGTGCACATCCACAAGCACCAGGCATGCACGCAGTGCACAAAGACACATGCCGGCAAAATGCCATAAATCTTTTTAAATGTTAAGTTTCTAAAAAACTCAAACCGGGGTGGGGTGGGGATATTCGAAGAAAAAAACCCAGAAGACAAATGCCACATGATATACAGTGAGCTTACAACATGAAAGAAAAGTGCAAGGTTATGATACGGCTTGTGATAAGGTATCTTGTATTTAGACAGGCTTTAGACCCACCATTGGCTCAGGGCACTATGAGGGATCTAGATTAGGTTGGCAGAAGACAGACCTTGAACTTGGGCAGTACCTACCATCCCAGAGCCTGGAGTCCTGCAGCCAAACTGGAGCAGTCCCACTGGGCTCCTTCAGTAAGCATAGTATGACCAGCTTTCTCAAGCCTCTCACATGACTCCCTACCAGGATGCACCCTTGAACTGTGAGCCAAGCAAGTTCCCCACCCAGACAGTGTTTGCCAAGTATTTGTGTTGCAACAGCAAATGAGGTATACTCTGCTAAAAAGCCTAGGGAAGAAAACCTAGCAGTGTTTAACTGTGTGAGAAGATGCAGGACAGTCTGAATTAAAACTACAGCATAGTGAGCCAGCCTTGTCACAAGTCAACATACAAGTAACCAGTAAACACACAAAAGGTATTCAACACAGCTGGTCATTAGAGATTCCAAGAAAATACTCAAAGGAGTCAAAGGAGTATCTATCTTCATACCTACTAGCCAGGTTATTATTACAATCTGTGACCCAAGTAGCAAGGATGTGCAGCAACTGCAGCCCTCAGACTGCTCACTGAGTACGCCATGGTAGAAATTTGGAAAACTAGCAGTTTGTTTTTGAGTTAAATATACATCAGTGCTAAACTCCAGCAAGTTCACATCTTCAATTTCAGAGAAACTTACACAAAAGTAACATCCTCATTCACAATACCTAGGACCGGAAACCCAGTCTATGAAAAGCAGACTGGGAACATCAATCTTGTACCTTATATCACAGAATAAAGGGCTTAAATGAAGGGCTGGGGACATTGCTCAGTTGGGTAAAGTGTCTGCTATATAGTCATGAAGACCAGAGTCCAGAAGTCCTCCTCACACCTAACCCCAAACAAGCCAAGGTCAGGCAATGGAGGAAGCAGAAGAGGAAACCTCGCTACAACTCTGAGCCCAAGTTCAGTGAGAGGTTCTGCTTCAAAAGAACTCTTGACAACCTCTGATCTCCTCATGCATGCACACACACACACACACACACACACACACACACACTCTTAGGACTCATGGGAATCCGCTCACACATTTTAAATAAATTACTGATAATTGTAACATAAATGAATCTCAAAACCTGAAAGATTCTGTTTGCATTTTGGAATCTTGTGCAGTGAAATACAAAGGGCTCCAAGTGTTTGCAGATGAATAGGGGCTCTTGTAGCTGCTCACACACTTGTAAAGCGATAGCTTTACAATACAATATTGATAGCTATTGAGTGAAAGAGCTAAAACACAGAAAGGATGACCATTTATGACACTGGCAGGCAAGGCTAACCACACAAGTCAGAGGGAGTTCTGGGAGCCTGTTTGGAAAGAATAAAGAAACTACTAAGGCTCAAAGACCAGGGCCTTAGTCACTGTGTACTGCTGTGAAGTGACACTGTGACCAAAGCAACTTTTCTAAAAGGAAGCATTTTAACTGGGGCTTGTTTACAGTTTCAGAGGCTTAGTCCATTATCATCAAGGTTGAGAGCACAGAGACAGACAGGCTTGGTGCTGGAGAAGTAGCTAGAACTACATCCAGACCCACCGGCAGAGAGGGAGACTGGGCCTGACACGGGCTTTTGAAACCTAAAAGCCAGCCAGGCGGTGGTGGCACATGCCTGTAATCCCAGCACTTGAGAGGCAGAGGCAGGCGGATTTCTGAGTTCAAGGCCAGCCTGGTCTACAGAGTGAGTTCCAGGACAGCCAGGGCTACAGAGAGAAACCCTGTCTCGAAAAACCAAAAAAGAAAAAAAGAAAAAAGAAAAAAAAAAGAAACCTAAAAGCCCAGCCTCAATGACCAACTTCCTCCAAGGTCACACCTTGTAATCCTTTCAAACAGTTCCTATCTCTGGTGGCCAAGCCTTCAAGGAGGCAATGGGGGCCATTCTTATTTAAATCAACACAAAATTTGTGGCGAGGGCCCAGCAAACAGCAGAGGCCACCACACCCTGGCTAGAGCAGAGGGAATGGATATTGATATTTAGCCCCTAACATAAACTCAGAAGTACTTAAAGGAACACAACAATCAAATCTGCTTCAGGACAGGGCAGCAACAAAGGGAAAGCTGTAACTGCCACTCACTCAGCAGGGACACAGGCCTGCCACCCTAGGTAGGTATCATTCCTGTAACATAAAACTTAAAAAGGATGAACTTGTCTGTGTCTGGGAAGCCACCGTGGATGTAATGGACAGACAAGACGTGAGGAATGAGAGCTACAACACAGCTGGTAGCCAGGAATCGTCCAACAGTAACCAGCCGGCCACTTACTGCCAAGTCAAGCCCTGGAAGAAAACCACAGCATAGCTATCGCTTTACAAGTGTGTGAGCAGCTACAAGAGCCCCTATTCATCTGCAAACACTTGGAGCCCTTTGTATTTCACTGCACAAGATTCCAAAATGCAAACAGAATCTTTCAGGATACTTGGGTGGGGACCCAGGGGTGGTGAGGGTGTTCAAGCTTGTGCAGCAGGCACCCCCCAAGCTCTGTTTAAAGCTCCAGAAAATAGCAACAGCTAACTAACATCTTCTTGCTGCGTGGCTTGTTCTAAATGCCACAGATGTGTCACTACATCTTCACAGTCCTCCAAAGACACTAACATCAGCATCCAGTTTCACTGATGAAGAAACTGAAGCCTCATGGATGTCGGTAGGCTGTCCAAAGTAACACAGGCACACTAAGTGGTACAGCTGGAATCCTAATCCACGTGCCTCAACCACTGCACCATTGCTGCATCAACAGGAAACAAGACAAACACTAACAGCAAACATTCGCTAGCAATGTGCCATGCTGGCAACATGCAGACAAACAAACCTTTTGGTAAGGCCCACTGTAGGACTTTTGGGTTTGAACTTAGGATTCAGGTCTTGGTTTAAACTTAGAATTCACTGCCCTGGGGTGCATTCCGGGAGTACATTCCTTAGTCAGAGGATACTTGCTGGACTGACATTCAGAGGAAGAAGGGAGAGGCTGATTAACATTCCTCAGACCACAGGGGAAGGAATCTACCTGAGGGTGAGGAGGGCCCAGAGCGCATAGACACATTCCAGGAATCAGGAAGCCGGGCCCTTAATGTAATAAACCTGGACAAACAGAAGACACTCCTTGTCATAATCTGAGTCACCTAGGGACTGGACCTGGAAAGGTTAGACTTTGTGGTTTGCCGTCGTGAACTCTGTATAAGTACTGCTCCCAGCTTTTGTTCGGGGCTCTCTTGCCTGCATGTGAGACAGTCCTGGTGCACTAGTTTCATTAAACCTCATGTGATTGCATGAGTCCTGTCCGTGTGCGTTTCTGTTGGAGCGAGTCCCCTGGTTTGGATCTTAGAATCCAACACCACAAACCTGTCACTCTCAGTTACTCCTACCTGCAAGAAACAAGAGTGGGTGAGCTGACCGGACTGGACTGGCTGCAGATCTTTCCTAATCTAGGGTAGATAGAATGAGATCCTCGCTCCCTGCTATTGGCTGAGAAAAGACAGAGAATACACTCTGCTCTTAGGCACCCTTGAGATCTGAACTATGAACCTCACTGACTTGAGAGACATTTTAAGTACAAATAACATGGCAAGGATGACTAATGCTATTGTTTCAGATGATCGGAAATGTAAATGTACTTTTCATTTATAAGTATTTCACCAATCCCTGGGACCCTCCATCAAACCACGGCAAGAAATGAACTGTGAATTTCTCTCACCTACGATTCCTGGGGTCACAATCCCAAGGATTTGGCACTGCTTGGGGAACAGTTTCTCCAGGGCACATGCTGTTTCCATGGTAGTTCTCTTCCTCGCTGTAACAACACAGTTGTACAACTGTTAAATATTACCCAGCTGTCAAATCTGACAATGTTAAAAAACAAAACGATATTTAACAATAAAACAGGCTATGAGTTTGGGGATGTAGGTCAGCTGGTAGAACGCATGCAGGAAGCCCTAGGTTCAACTGTCAGCCACAGCGCTGCATGAACCCTGAGCAGTGCAGGCCCTAATCCTAGCACTGCATACACTCTGAGCAGTGCAGGCCGTAATCCTAGCACTGGAAGGTGGAAGCAGGATGATCAGGAGTTGGAAATGGATTTTCCCCATTTTGGTGCCTCTTTTATTCAAGTTCTAGCCCTAACTTTCGCTACCACCACCTTTGCCCTAAAGGCATCAGATCTGGCTCAGCACCGAGCCTGAGAAGTGCTATTTACTAGACCTCTCTGTTCAACTGATTTCATAGCATAGATTTCATTTCATAGACTACTACTTGACTCCAGTCAGTTAGATTCCAGTCAGTGTCCAAATCAAAGTCCAGGCCACAGGGCCCGTCTTGGATTCTTGGATTCTTCGTATTTCCCCTTAGCAAGCCAAGAATGCATAGGGTCTGTGATAGCTTTGGTAACAAAACCTCGCAGTGCTACTTTATACATGAGCAGGCGTGGATAAGCAAAGGCAGGCTCTTGTTTTAATAAAGAAGTACACCTGGAGGGTTAAAGTATTTTAAAACGAGAAAAACATCTTTCTGAAAAACCTCATTCCATCCATCTACCCATCCATCCATCCAATTGTACCATGAGGTTAGACATCAACCTACAGCACAAAGGGCTCCTTAGCTCATGCCGGACACAGGCACGCCTACAGGAGCAGTGCCCAAAAGTCTCAGAAGGCTTCCTCTCAGGACTAGGACAATGTCAAAAACAGAAACAAACAGCCAAACACCTAATGCTTGTCTCCACAGCTACCTCTTTTATGGCCTCGGCACTCTTCCAGGCTGATGAAAGTCTCAGAGTCTGCCATGTAGAGAACTGTCTGTGGTAAGATGCGAACATTCTGCAAAGAAAGAAGAACGGGATCCTGGGAGTCCGCGCGTGCCTCTGCGTTCCCAGGCACCTGCCTGCTCCACCCTGAGCCCTCCCTTTCATGTCTCACCTGTCGCTCCAACGCTTGTCAGCTCCTACTATTTTGGTTTTTTGTGTCAAACTTATCTCAGGTCTTAAGTTCATTTTCATAAAGCTCATTCAATCTTTTAGAACAGACCGTCACAGTAAGAAGCATCTCAAGAGAGGGAGGGTGCACAAGCTGCACCCCTCTTGTGGCATTTGGTGCCAGGCCCCCAGCTCAGTATTTCAGACCTGCTCACACTTGTACAAACAAGTTCCCTTGCTGCCAGGCACCTTAAAAGGTTCTTTAAGGTACCTCAGAGCAAACCTCTCAACCTTTGTATCTGCACCTCCAGGTGGCATCCTTACAGCCCTGCCTACCATCTTGTTTGTGTAGTTCCAACTCTGAGCAGGGCTTCCTCAGACTGCTGGCTTTCCTAAGCCTCACATGGTAGACAGCTATCAAAGGCTGAATTAAATGAAAGGAGAAACTTTCCAAGTGTTTCCTATAGGAATGGAATAAAAAGCAGCACATCACTGCCCTGTAATCTCGGGAGGTGGAGGTTTCGGAGAGGTTCTAGATAAACTCATGAAAAACACTGAACAGTATACCATCCGTTGTGGGGTGGGTGAGACCTATGACCTACGGACACAAAGTCTTGATTTCACCTAGCATTTCTAAAAAGTCTAAGTAGTCGCCACAATTTAAAATGTCACAGAACTTTAACATGTTTCCCAATCCTTTTGAGAAACTACAGAAACACTCAGACTGCTTACCTTTCAGCTATGGCTAGGCAGACCTGCCAGTACCTCCACCCACTAGAGCCTCTTGGGCTTCTGTCTGACGTTGAGTTATTTCTGTCTGTAATGCCCGCTGAGCGAAGGAGTCGGGGCCTGGTCCTGCCTCTGCCATCAACAGCAGGTAACGAAGCAGGTGCCTAGTTTCTTGAGTTTCCTATGTTTAAACAAACATACCAGCCTCATCTCTAATTCTCACTAGAAACTGACTACAAGCCTAAAAATGAGACTCTCACTGTAGCATAAGGCAGCTAGAACTACACTATTCAAAGTTACAAATAGCAAGCTATCTTATAGAAGTTCAAAATATTTCTAATAGGAAGTTAAGCATCTTTCCTTATATCTATTAAAATACTCAATCCCCAAGATGATCTGGAAAACACAGAGAAAACTGCATATATGACTTAGTCACCATGTTTCTGTCTCAACATGAGTTTAATTGTTTTTAAGGCCATCTGAACTTTAATAGTCATATTACAAGAGTTCTTAACACCCACTGAAAATATATAGTCTTAACATGTTATACGCATTATCTTTTTGCCATTTAATCCTGACAAGAACCCTTTAATGGTACAAGGGAATTCTTGTTCTTCCTTTTCAATTTATGGAAATAGAACTCAAGGCTTAGTCAAAGCCACATTGCTAGCTTGAGCCAAAATTTGAGTTAACATCTAAGATTCTCTGTATATAACAGTCACCACTACCACATATAGAATAATGCCTACTGCAGTAAAAAGTTGAAAATGACAGGACGTGTAAAACAGCATTAAAAAAAAAAGTCACATGGATTCTATTCCCCACAGAAAACTTTAACTAATATCCTATTTATGACCCTTCCTTTGTATTAATCTACACTACACTAATATAATTTAATTATCTACTTCTCAAATTTATCAACATTTAAAAACTTTTATTTTATGTGCATGTGTCTTAAGTGTATGCCATGTGTATGTGGGTGTTCTCAGAAACCAGTTGTAGTTACAGGCAGCTGTGACTCCTGATGTGGGTGATGGGAAGGAACTTGGGTCCTCTGGAAGAGAAGCCAACTATACTAACTAACCACTGCACCCTTTCTCCAGCCCCTTTATCAAGATTTTCTTATGATTGAAGGTACTTTGTGATTTGTAATTTAATGATTTACTTTACCAAACAGCATATTTTTAAGCTTCCTCACTATACATGATGCTCCAATAATAATGGACTGTGGGCCTTGATCAGTGTATCAGAGAGAAACAGTACTCTAACAAGCAGGAGAGATGGATGTTAGCCAGCTTTCTGGATGTGAGTCCAAGAGTCCAAAAGAACAAAGTAGAAAACCCACACCAGACAGCACACTCAGGACTAGCACATTAAAGATAAGAGCCGGGGCTTGGCGAGATGACTCAGCATTTCAGAGGGGGAATGCCACTTTTTCAAAGGACAAAGTTCCTCTAGCTCACAATCAGCTCTAAGGGATCCCATGCACTCTTCTGGCCTCCGCAGACATGTTCACACGCACACACGTATTCAGATACACGACAGACATACAGACAGGCGCGTGCACGCGCGCGCACACAAAGAGCCAGGTTTCCTAGACCCCCTGGGAGCTCTCAGAGACTGAGTCACCAACCAAAGAACATACAGGGTCTGGAACCAGGACCCCTGTACATATGTAGCAGACATGCAGTTCAGTCTCCATGGCTACCTTGTCTGGCCTCAGCAGGAGAGGACAGGACGTGCCTAATCTGGCAGAGACTTGATGTGTATACGAGGTGGGGATGGGGGTAGGGGAGGTACAGAGGGGCACCTTCTCAGAGAAGGGGAGATGTACTCTGAGCCAGGTTTCCCACTGACAGTAAGGGAGGTATAAATATGACCAGCGAGGAATTGAGACCAAATCTTAGGTTGGATTGGATGTACCGAAGGCAACTCCTGAGTTCCCATGTACCACTGATAGAAATACAGCTCCACATACACATAGCCAGTCACCTCTCTCTCCATTCAATGATTCAAATGTGTCTATTTAAAAAAAAACAAAAACAAAAAACGGGGGAGGGGCTGAATCTATACTATATTTACAAACTTTTTTTCCTAATATATTCTACATTTACTTTATATGAGGTATAAATAATCTAGAGATTTGAAGTTAAATAAGGGTGGGCTATATAAGTTAACAGAAATACTATGCAAGTTTATAAGGGATATGAGCAGCTGTAGACTTCAATATGGGGCAACTAATACCCTGACAATACCAAAGAACAATGGCACATGCAGATATGTATATATATTCCTGTCTGGGCTAGAGCAGCAAACCCTTAAACAACAGTGAGTAGATTTACATAGTGCTGACCTTAGATTCTAATTAAATACCATTCTCCACGAAAAGAAACCACAACTATTAGTGAAACTACTAATTTCTTGAATGAAGCAGGTGAAATACAAGCTGAAGACATTTGGTGCCAAAAGGTCATCTCTAAGGGACAATAAAACTGGCTTGAGAGCGTGCTAGCCACACACAAACCATGTGAGTATCAAGGAGATTCTAACAGTAACAGACACATCTCTAAACAGGAGACCAAGAGTATGTGTGTGTGCTGCGTGGGGAACAAACTGAACGAGAAGAAAAGTTAAGTTTCAAAGTTTTTACACACAGGTATTTATTAACTGCAACAGGACAGAAAATTTAAAGGCAGAAGCTTCTGGTAGACACCACTTGAATCAAGTAATTTAAGGTAATGGGATAAAAAAAATCTACTAAATCACAGTCACACTCAACCTGTGAAAGTTTTCCAAAGTAACTGGCCTTGGATTTTCTTAAGTGTTGAGGCTGGTAAAGAAAGTCACGTTGGGGACACAAACAAAGCAATGTGTCTTTTAGTCAGTCACTGGGAACCGAATTGAATCCTTTTGCCCTTAAGAAAAGTACTGGAACAAAATCTGAAGATTAGATGGTAGTGTGTTTACAAGCTCTTACTGAAGGGTGTATTTGTTACAGCTTTCATTTGGTACCCAGATTATCTCCAATTTGACTATCGGGACCCCACTTGAAGGCACCTTCAGAAGTCTTTAAGGTAATGTATTATCTTAGTTTTGTTTCTGTTAATGTGATAAAGTCCATTATGAAAAGCAATTGAGGAATAAAGAGTCCCTGAAGAAAGCCAGAGCAGGTAACAGAAGCAAAAGCCAGTGGAGTGCTGGTTACTGGACTGTTCTCCATGGCTTGCTCAGTTTGTTTTCTAATAAACTCTAGGACCACCGGCTAGGGGGTTAGGCAGGCTACAGTGGCGGTGGGGGGAGCTCCCACACCAAACATTAATCAAGAAAGTGTCCCACAGACTTGTCTACAGGCCAATCTTTGGCAGGGAATTACTTGAGTTCCCTTTCCGGCTCAAGTTGAAAACCAAACCCAAAACCAAGAAAACCTCTCACCAACACATATATCAATGATGATTTCCGAACCTGGAGGCTATATTGTATTTAAGTAGAACATTCCTGTTTGCCTATTATACATACTAAGAGGTAACAGAGCATCAAATTGGCAATTTCCTCAACAAGGGCCCCTGCCACTCAGTGAGACACTGGAAATTCACTATCTATCATCTTTATAATATGTCTTCACCTCCCCAAACACTGACTCTCCTGAATCCAGGGGCAAAAATGAGAAGAGGACTGTGGTTTAAGTATTTAGGTAGAAGTTTTAGCTCTTCCAGTTCTAGTGTGTTGGCCCTGGGCAAGCGATACCCAATGCCTTCATTGCAAAATAGAGGCAAATTAAGGAAGGCTCTGTAATAGTGGATACTTCAATTGCCCAACATCTAATAATAATTAAACCACAGCACGCCCTTACAAAACCTGAAGTTTACTACAAAATCCAGAATGCGAGCAAAGGCTCCCCTTAGGCACATGTATTACAATCGTGATTTAAAAAAAAAAAAAGTTCTCAGCCCACTAGCCCTGCAAGTGTCTGTTCACGGCACAACTCCATACTTGCCTCAAGCGCCTCAGCTAGTACGCGGACCAAGCAATGTCCCTCCAGGTGGCCCGCCTCCGCCACACCCGCGGAGATCCAGGTCACGTTGCGATGGGTCCGCAGCACTCTGCGCACACACTCCCTCCACAGGCGGCATACTCTGGGGACGCAAAAGCACAAAGGGTTGCCGCCGGGCGGCCCGTTCCCATCGTCAGCAGCCTCGCAGCGCCAGCCAAGCACTAGGACACCAGGGCAGGGGTCCCGGCAGAGGTGAACCCGCCACCCTCCGGGATGAAGGTCTCCTCCCGCCCCATTCGCCCTCACCCGGCTACCCGAAGCAACGCTTTGGCCGGCAGGAAGGTAAACACACGCTCCACCACCTCCGCAAGGTTACTCAGCACGTAGGTGCTTCGCGGATCTGTGGAGGAGGAGCCGTCGCCGCCGCCACCGCCTACCGGCTCCATTCCTCGCCTACCGGCCCGAAAGCCCTACGGAGGCTCAGAGGCACCCGTACGGCCAGCGCACCACCGACAACCCGAGCTCACTGAGCAGGCGCGCGCCACTTCCGGTGGGCCGCTTCCGGCACTGGACACGCCGCTGTAGCGGTGCACCGGCCGCACAGTTCCGCCCGGAAGGAAACATATGCAGCCTGGCGTTTAAGCCTGCTGCACGCACTTGTGTTTTTGGCGAGTCTGGTTAACTCATTAGCTCTTAAGTTTTAAGCAGTAAACATAAATAGCACTCGCCATTCTTTGGCCACTATTCATTGCTACAGAAAGCACATGCCAAACCAGTTATTTTCACACAGGAGCCATTATTCTTTGGCTCGTGCTGGGTCTTCCCTGCAGGCCAACAGAATCACAAGGAATGAGGCCCAACAACCTGTTTTAACCCTTACGTAAGGGTTAAAACTCCTATACATTCTCGAACCAAAAATGAAAGAACAGTAGTGGCTCAGCAGTTAAGAGCACTTACTGCTCTTCCAGAGGTCCTGAGTTCAATTCCCAGCAACTACATGGTGGCTCACAACCATCTGTAATGGGATCTGATGCCCTCTTCTGATTTGTGTCTGAAGACAGCGCGACTCTCTTCTCTTCCTCCTCCCTCCCTCCCTCCCCACCTCTCCCTCCTTCCCTCTCTCTATGAAAGAAATCTTAGTAGAGGCAGCTTCATTTCAACCGACTAGGTTTTCTCCTGATTGACGGACCCTTTGTCCCCCAGCTACTTGGTCTGACCTGGTGCTTCTTGTTTTGGCTTCATGACCCTTTACACTGTGATAACCCAGTAGAACATTTTGAACTGGACATGATGGTGCATGTTTGCAATCTAGCAAGCTGAAGGCAGGAGGATCAAAAGCCAAAAAATAAATCTGGGCCCAACCCCAAAGCATGTAAGATAACATAAAACACATTAACAACCCCTCAATAACAAGCTGCCACTTTACTCTGGAAACCTTAAGGCCTAATAGCAAATATATGGACGTATCATACAGTCTATAAAATTCCAAGATACACTGAGGATGTGTGAAAACTTAAATGCTTCCCGTTAATAATAATAATAAACCCAGCAGATCTGGGGTCTCCAGGAGTCCTAAGACCGATTTCCAGAACTAATGGCTCCAAACTCTGTGGCACCATTCTTCTCACCAGGCACTGGCGAGGTAGGGGAGGAGAGGGGAGACGTGGTAAGGACAAGGGAATGAATATCAAGGGCGTATGTTTAAGAGGACTTCTCAACATTTCTTCAGCTAAGGCTACCTTCGGAGAAAACTGCTGTTTCTGAATGAAGTAGGATGCCTGTACATGGAGACATAACATTCAAACCAAACATGAAACTGGCATAGGAATTTCAGTCAAGAAGAGAAAAAGCTTTCCTTCTGTTAAGCTGCTGAGAAGATCTACTCATCGTGGTATGTATAGGGGCCTTAAGTATACAAGGGCAACTGTGCTACTTAGTACCCTAAGAACATTAGAGACATTAATTAAAACAGCACTTGAAACCCACGTGCATTTGAATTTAAAGAACACAGTAAAGGGAGTGGTTAAGGAAAAACTGAATACACTATGTGTGTATACACCAATTCTAGGTTCCCTCCATCTCACCATCTTCATCTCCACTTCTGAAGCCTCCCCACACCCCATCTTCTCTTTGAATAGCCTACACTAGGAATTCAATACAGAGCCTAAAGACACCTGAATCACAGCAGCTTGTATGAGGGAAAGGTGACAAATCGATTTTTAAATGGTTCTTTATTCATAAACTTGATGCAAGTTTACAAAATTTACTGTACATTGCCAAATAAATCTGCAATGAAAAAAAAAAAACCCAAAGCATGCCAAATGTGTAGCTGTCAATCTGCTAGCCATTAGGAAATTAGAATTCAATAACATATTCAAGATTTTGCCTTAGGCATAAGGAATTTTATAATGTGTTGGATTCTGCCTTGCCACTTGTCATCTGAGCCACTGGCAATCATTTATTTAAGGTAACCAAATGACCAAGGATACCAGATCTCTTTACTGCCCTCTCAACCAGCAGAATCAAGAGAAACCACACATAAAATGCACATGTGCCATGTCCCCTACATGTGGTTTACAAAGTTAAAAAAAAATAATCTCAGATCAAATATATAAGAAATACTGTTGACCTTTGTACTGGTTTGTGCAGGAAAATGTGCTTCTGGGTTTCTTTTTTAAAAGTGCTTAAATAACTAGATTTAAATCAAACATGGGGTTTGTTTTTTAAAAAAAAATCTATTACCAACCAAAGAGTACTGATTCAGGTAAGGCAATAAAATGCAAAGTACATTGATTTGTGTCACATTTTATAAAACATTAACGTAGGCTGAGTTCCTACTGGTCTTCTGATGTAAACACCACTGCATGACTATAGCAAACATTTAAGGATCTCCAATTTAGGTATCTTTCATAATCTTGCTCAAAGAGTCTTTGTGCCAATCATTCCATAAGTTTATTAGTTTGTCATCAATTGCAACACCCCGCTAATAAATGGAAAGGTAAAATGACATCCTACTTCAGAACTTCAGGCTCTACACTGTGGCTCTTCCTCACGAGAAATGTTGAACCAACAGGAGGCAGGTTCAGTCCAACAGGACCCTGCTGCCCCAGTGGAAATCACTGCTCACAAGTGGCTGCCTTGCTTTGCTGTACCTAATATGATACAATTAGGATCATACTTTCAGATTAGTTCAAACCTTCACACAACCATGAAAAAGTGTAACAATTTAATGAAGAGGCTTCCTGTCATAATTTTGGCAATAAAATTATTTCAGACCTGAAAAAGCTATGGTTTAGAAGACCTAAAATTTCTAAACCAGTATTGACCATCAGTTAAACTTTTATTGGCTCTAAACAAACAGGATTTTGCAAATCTTCATACCCCATAGGCTCAATAGAGAAAGGTTACTGTAAAATCACAGCTGCAATAAACTGATGCTGACTTCCCTGCTTAAGATTTTTCACTTTTCAAGAAAAAGGTGGTAGGGAGTGGCTATTGTGTGTACTTGTCAGGAAAAATACAGTAAAGGCCCCACTGCTCAGTCCAAGATACCTAAAGTGAGCAAAATGAAAAGGCTGTAACTGGATGTCAGCTGACAGATTATCCACTAAATGACCTATTAGCTAATGTCTTCGGTACTGCTGTTACACGGGCACTCGAAAGCTTATGTCTGTACGTTGGAACAATTTTCTTTAAAGCAACATTGGTCCAGACATATGTCAATGTAGTTAGCCATCTTCCTTTGGAGGTGTGTACCAGCCTGAAATAAAATGGAAAAGGTTAACATCAATCTAGAAAAAGATTAAGAAAAAGACATTACTACATCAGGGCCAGTGTCTGTTCATAACTGTGTTGTTTAATCCTACTGTAGAAACTTCAACTTGCTGTTCAGTTACTAACCCAGCATTCTGATATCTGATTTAGCTACTGCTTATGACTAAAGCATACTTGGATTTTCAACATCTCGTATGAATGGTACTCTTAGCTGACGGTGACAGTATGGACTAACAGCTACATGCTAAACTTTCATCTCAGTTTTGTATTCAAAAGCAAACCTCACTCAAAATATCCCCCACACAAAATCCTGGTGACTAGAATTTAAAAACCAACTAACCAACCAACCAACAAACAAACAAATAAAAACATTGGTAGGGAAACTGCTTTAATCACATTACAATTCCAGCTATGTAAGGTAGGACAGCACAAAGTTTGTAATCTCATAACGCATGACTAAACATCAAGTTACTTATGGTAAGCACACAATTTTGTCAATTTACAACAAGTACAAAGATATAAAACTTTAAAAATTAGAATTGCTCTCTTTTGATTCTGAATCCACTGCTCTTTCATCAATGCAAGGCAATCTCTGTGTCTCTCAAATACATTTTCTATAAACCTCTTGTGAACACCAATTGTAGGGTTTGCTTTAAGAAAGAAAAAGGGGGCAATGTGACTGCTGACCCAGGCTCCACTCAAGTGTAAGCTCTCACAGAAAGGCAGCTGGATGCTCAGTCAGGCCTGGGAGAAAGCAGACATTGGAATGTACTCATCTGATGTACTTACTAGAAACGACAGAAGCCTGGGCTTGACCTCAGGTTTTAAACCTTCTTTGAATTTTCAAGATTTGGTTTTGAATACTATTACAAAAAGGAATCATGAAAAAAGTTGGCTTTATCATTAAAATTGTGCAAGACACAATTGTGCAAGACACAAATCCAAACTTACAAACTAATATACCTATGTAAGTGTGTACACAGAGGTCAACATCCTGTGTCTTCCTCAAATCATGTTGTTGGTCTTTTTGAGACAAGTTCTCAACCTGAAACTCAATGATTCCGACTGGCTGGCCTCAGCTGGGATCAGAAGCATCTGCTGCCGCACGTGGCTTTCCATGTGCACTCTGGAGACAAACTCAGGGCCTCATGCATGCTCATTTCCCAGCCCAACTAACACATCTCTTCTAGCAGAGTTAAGAGCATTTACTACAGTACTTATCCTAAGGTGCCTACACTTTCACTCACACAAAAGAGTATTAGTATCCCTTCCACCACTACCATGAATTCCCTATTCAGGGCACTTGGTTACACAGTGCTCTGCAGAGGCACTATTCTTTTTCTTCATTTTCTAAGAGACACTTTGCCAACTTCAGATGAGGAAACCTGGGATGAAAGAGATCACAGAGACTGGAAAAATGGCACAGTGGGTGAAGGGACTTGCCGCTAAGCCAGACAATGGTGTGTGCAGTGGCAAACACATACACAGAGAAACAAATTTCTCTTCTCAATAAATCTGAGGACCTGTTCAAAGCCACAGAGCTAGGGAGTGACATAAATGGCACTTGCAAACAGGTCTTCCAAGCCAGGCCAGGTGATGCAGGCCTATGATCCCAGTGACTGGGAAGACTGAAGCAGGACTCTTAAGTTTAAGCTTTGCCTGGACTGCAGAG